TTTTTTTTTTCCTCATCCGATATTCGATATTTACTTTGGCCTTAATTAATTTGGATTCGTGCCGCGTGAAACCTCTAATTAAAAGAAAAGTGCTCTCTACTATAAAAAAAAAGGGCTCACACGTGAAACCTCTAATTAATGATGAAATAATCTTATTCATTCCCTTACAACTTTGACAGTGTCTTATCAATCTTAATAGCATGTTTGGCAAAGCTGAAAAAATCAGCTTATTTTGATAAGTGCATTTTTCAAAAGTACTTCTCGAGAAAAATAGTTTGTGTTTGGCTAATCAATTTAAGAAGTACTTTTGAGTAGCAATTTGTGTTTGACCAAGATTTTCAAAAAATACTTTTAAGTATCAAATTACGATAAAGACATGAAGAGATGTACTTAATAGTTAAAATTATATAAATAAATAAATAATTATAAATATTTATTATTAAAGATAATAATTAAGTTTTTATTTTATTTAAGTAAAATATAAAACTAAATTGAAAAGTACTTTATCCTTTTAAAATGATTTAACTATATCAAAAAATAATTCAATAAATATGAACTCAAAAGTTATTATATATTACTTAATAGTTTAAACTAAGTAAGACTATTTTGGTATATACAATATTTTGTTAAGGGTATTTTTGGTAGTAAGAAAATTCAAAACTGCTTCTGCTTCCGGAGAGAAGATACTTTTTTCTGCTTCTCCCAAAAAAATACCTTTTTTCCTCCAAAAAGCTTGACCAAACACTCCAAGTTAAGAAAAAAATTGCTTTTTTTTGAAGAAAAAAAATATTTTTGACAAAAAAGAAGGTTGGCCAAATAGGCTATAAGCCATCTGTTCGTCGATTTTGCATGAATTTACGCGTTTGGGCCACTTTCATTCAAAAAGCATTTTAACTGCTGTTAAGTTAATTCTATCATGTTAACTTTCAACCTCATCCCAATTTTTGAATAATAGAAATGTCAATCGTTATTTTATATAATTTTCTTATATCATAATTCAAATTAACATAAAAATCATTCATATAAAGAATTGATGTGATTTTTTCCTTTCAGACTACATTTTAAATTATTACCTATCTTTGAATAAAGTGGACATATGTTGACCTCAACGGTTATTAAAACTATATTGTGTGAAAAACTTATTATGTATTTTTTAAAATTAAAGTCATTCACATAGGATATACTGACCCGAGGTTATTAAGGTATGGCCAGGCCCCTATCTGTCTATAAAATTACCCAAAAGAATAGTATACGAAGGAAGACATAAATCTTAGCAGCCATGAAAGTACGAAGAAAAGGAGAACTCATTGATTGCTCCATTTAACATGAGAGAGGACTCCTCTGTCATTGTACATTTTGAACTAACAATAAAAAAAGGCCAAAAGAGTTCCTCTTGTCAAAAGCGAAGCGGATTCATGATTTAAATTTTATGGGTTCAATTTTTAAGGTTTTTGGCATTGAACCCATTATATTCTTAAAGTTATGGGTTCATATCCACTATTTTTACAATTTTAATGAATTTCTACATATAAATTTTTACACCTCATCAAAAGTTATGGATTCAGTTGAACCCGTTAGTTGTTCACTACATCCACCTCTGCCTCTTACAATCACGAAAAAGATTAACCATTTTAAAAAAAGAAAATGACCATTCTTTATTCTAATTCTGAAATTTACATATCCATTTGATCATTCTTCGTTAAAGCTTTAAATCATAATTGAAAGCGTGAAATACTAGCATGAGCCAAAGTAGTTCTAAGCGTCCCCTTACAAGTTACATCATATTAGTAGAAAATTCAAGTTTGTCTAGTGATGTAATTTACAAATCCATGTGAATAAAATCTAAGCGAGACCCAAACCTATTGTAGCAGCCAACCAAATATAGCCTAATAATATTTGGCTGGTAAATGTTTTTCAAAGATGAAGAAATATGCAGAGATCACGTTTAATTTTTGTTCTTGTGATGTCACTAGTGACATCAAGAAGATGTTTTTTCATCCCTAAAAATAGGGACTTCTTCATTTGTAAGCATCCACTTAACAGAGAGAAACGTATTTGTAAGAAAAAATATTGAGAGTTTGAGCGGTATTGTTGCAAGGATATTTTAAAAGAGAGTTTTCTTTTGAGTGTGTCAGCCTCGAGAATATTGTGCTACTCGAGTGCTTATTCACTATTAGAAAATGCCTAAAAATCGTTTGCCGATTTCTGACGGAAATCTGTCGAAGTGCAAACCGATATTCAGTAGGAAATGGACAAAATAAAAAAATTTATAACTGAACCGACCGAAGTTTGTCGGTAAATTTAGTGCCAAAAATCCGAAATACAATTTGCGTCCGTAATTTCAACATTCCGATCGAAATCAGTGTCAAACTTTAACTTTTGTGTAGAAAATAAAATATAAATTAAATAATTTTTGATAATTTCCGACTGAAATTGGTCGGATAATTAAACCTGAAAAATATTTTTCAATTTACCGACCAATTTCAGTCGGTATTGAAGTCAAACTTTTGATCAAACATGAATAAATATATAAATTATTTTTAAATTATAAAAATAATTAGAATTTTCGACCGAAAATCTACACCCCTTATATAATATGATTCAAAATCATCAGCCGAAAACCTACACCCCTTATATATTCCGTATGATGCACTTGCATGCGTTATTCTTATACTTGAGCAGTAGTCCGTTCGAGAAATTGAGTTGATCTTCATTGGTGAACCAATTCTACTTGAACATAGGATAAAAACATTCAATTAATTTATTTAATTTAAAACTGAGTTGTGTGACCCATGTATGTTATTAAAACTGAGTTGTGTGAAAAGTTTATTATGTTTATTTCGTTAAGGTCATTCACCTAGAATATACTGATCCGAGGTGACGGGATTTTGCCGGACCTCTATCTGTCTATAAAATCACCCACGAAATATATGAAGGAATCAGACATAAACCTTAACCTCTAAGAAAACAAGAAGAATGAATGAATTCATTCTCATACAAAGATATGTTTGCACCATTTATCACAAGAGAGGACTCCTCTCTCATTGTACATTTTGAACTAACAGCAAAAAAGGTCAAGATCATTCATTTTATAATCAGGAAAAGGATTAACCATTTTAAAAAAGAAAGTGAATATTCTTTAGTTTAATTCTGAAATGTATATGTCCTCTTGATTATTCTTCTTTAAAGCTTTAAATCATAATTGAATTTAACGTTAAATACTTGCATGAGCTAAGGTAGTTCTACGCATCCGCTTATAAGTTACATCATATTAGTGAAAATTTCAATTTTGTTGAGAACAAAACTAACATGCCATAATGAATTTTTTAAAAAGAAACTACTAAAAAGGAGCGTAAGAATTTCTTGGTCCAAAATTAAATGTCTCTTAAGACAATAAATGGAGTACTAATATAAGCGAGTTCTCTTTGGTTAGATTCTTTTACAAGAAAAATTTTTGGAAAAAAAAAATCAAGCGGGTTGAGTAATTGTATTTCGAAACTAAAATAAAAGTAAAAATCTAAAGGTAAACTTTTCTCTAAACTAACACGAATGCCATCGGAAAAATATTATCTAAAAAATCAATCAAAACACGCAAAGTAACTTCTTTAATTATGTTTCAAAAATTTCTTTAAGATAATATTTTAAAAAGAAATTAAACCTAATCAACTAGATCTAAAGACCATTTCATAGGCTCTATTAGTTATTTTCTATATCTTAACCACTCGGGACGTTTTGTTAGTGACAAGTTATACACTGTAATAGGTGATGGAAAATTCAAAATATACTGTATATCTTCCAGAACAATCAAAACTTGAAAGCAGTGGCGGCCCCCCCGGCTGCTGTTGCCCCCTAAATCTTACGGTTGAGTCATAGGCAACGAAAAACATTTGAAAAAGGTAATTTGTCTGATGTGATAATTCGAGTGGACTGAAGACTACTGCTAAGACTTTTTTGTTTTTGTTCTTTCGAATTGATATATATGTTGGTTTTGTTACTTCTATTTTCCACTCTTTCAACAAAATTACCTCAAACTTTATAATATTAGATAGTACTAGTTTTAGTGTACGATGTGTTCCACGCGAACATTGCGTCAATTAATAAAAAATAGAAAAATATATAAATAATGAACAAATGTTTGAAAAATAACAATTTTAGTTAAAATAAATGCAAATAATTGTTTAAATGATAAAAAAATATTTTATTAACATATGTAGCAGTTAAACTCAATATATATCTTCTGAACATGATGATGAATTAAATTAAAT